AGCGACGCGGCGACGCCGGCCTCCGGGGAGGCGCGCGCCCCGCGGAGATGTACGGTAAGGAGGGCTCCGCGCCTGGGCTCGGGGCCGCGGGGGTCGACTCCGCAAACTTCCAGGACGCGAACCTTTGTCCCCGTGCGTGGCTCAGACCTAAGGCGACAACGCCGACTCGGTGCCTGGCTGGGCTGCATCGGCTGTTCTGTGCGCGGGTGTCTGCGGAGAGGACAAAGATGCTTTGGGTCAGGAGACTCTGGGGTCCTGGGAAGTCCTTTGGGCCCGGCGTGTGCAGGCGCCGGGGCGGTGGGAGGTGATCCATCGGGGGCAGGGGAAGCCGGTGGTCTCTAGCCGTGGGGATCTGGGGAAAGCAAGTCTCTTCTGGAGCCGCGCAGACAGGGTGGGTTGGTGGAGGTGGTCGTGTGACAGCATTGGCAGAATTAACAAAAGCGGTTTGTGCTTGGGAGTTTTATGCGGGAATTTGGTCCAGAATGGAAGGAGATCCTTGCTGCCGGCTTTCTGCCCTCTTTGAGGATGTGGGAGGCGGCGCCCGAAGCTCAGGGGCCGGGGAGTGAGCCAGAGCTGGGAGCCTCAGCTCTCGGCCCTGGATGGACTTGGCCTTTGCCTGCCTCTGGGATCCAGTCTCTCTAACTTCCAGATTGGCCCTCCGTAAGGATGAAGGGAGTAGAAGCTGATGAGAGGGAGCAGCTCAGCCCTGACCTCTCATCCCCTTCCACAGTTATCGCCTCCACTGATGTGCAACAGTTCCGCAGACCCTCGCTGTGCATTGCTCTGCTTGATAATTTGCCAGGAATTCCTCTGGTTTTGCAGGCAGTGTAGGTGAAGAAAGAGAGTGCTTTGGGTCCCACATTGCTGCTCTGATGAGTGGAGCGTTGAAGATCAGGACCAGTCTAGGATTGGGCTGCATTACAAAGCCTCCAAGAGTGGGTTGTGTGTGTGTGTGTGCGTGTGTGTGTGTTGATCCCCACGGATATAGTTCATCAAAACCCAGGTATCTGGTGGTTATTCTAAAGCCAGCGAAAAAATTGGAGCTGTGATCACCTCCCACTCCCACTGCAGGGTAGGGGCTCAGTCTGCACCTGAGGGGTGAGTGTTCCAGAAGAGCACGTTCCCAATTTGACCTATCATCATGAAGGCTGCTCAGCTGCTTCTCTCTCTCTCTCTGTGAACAGACCATGAGTCACAAAGTTTGTTAGAGGCAGAGCTGTCTGCTGAAGACTCAGCAATTGGTGTGCCTCCCTATTTAGAAGACAAAGACTCAACTTTTTGAATCAGTCTCTGTCTCTGTCTAGTTTGTAATCCATTTGCATTTCTGATTCAGGTCCAGACCCTAGCAGGTCCCCTTGGCCAGCATTATTTCTCCTGGGTGGACAGAGTAGGGGAAGGGGGGGGGGGAGCTGACCTCAGAGGCTGTGCTGGGGAAGATGACCTAGCACTAGTATTTTATAAGCTGGGAGGTTGTGAGGTTCCCAGGAGAGAGTTGTACTTTTTCATTATTTTATTTCATTTTTTTAAAACTCTGTTTTCCCCCTATTCTTCTCTGCAGAGGGAGCAGCCTGAAGCTGCAGATCATTTGACAAAAGCATGTGACTGCAGGGGCACCTGCAGTAGGGAAGTAGTTAGGTCTGGTCCATCAGAATGGTTCAGAACTGGGAACCCTGATCCTTCAGACCACCCCACTGCATCTGTAGATAATTTGGTAACTTACGCAGGATGTCTGAGAGTTGGCAGTTCTACTCTGCCTCTTTTGGATGCAGCAAGTCAAGGAAGAGCTGGATAGAACAGAAGGGTGAACTGGGAAGTCAACATATCTGGATGCTATTTTCAGATGCACCACAGATTTTCATTTCTCTTTAATAACATGTTTCTATTTCCCCTGATGCAGAGTGGAGACTTACTCTGAATGATTCATAGAAAGATTGTGATGAAGGAATCCTCTGGGCAGTTGCCTGCAGCAAAGTCACATTAGGGCTGGTATGAGATGGTTACAGTGTTGCTCTTTGGCTCTGTGCAAAGCCTAGTCTAGGGAGGTGTGAAAGGGAGCCCTCTCTCCAAGGGGCAGGCTCATCTGCCTGGATTTAGTGTATTTCTGACTTTGAGAAATGAGAGTCCATGTGATACCTGTAATCTTTCTTTCCTGAGAAGTCAATTGGGTGACTTAAAAAAAAAAATAGGAGCGGAGAGGTTGGGAGGACACAGAGCATCCTAGACTTCCTATGATTGGTCTTGTTTTCCCTCATTTTCCAAGTGAGTTGTCCAAGGTAGCACAGTTAGAGGGACTAAAATAAAGTGAAAACTAGGGACCCCTGGATTCATCTCCTTCTGAACCTACTCAGATGAAGACTCCTTAGGGGAATGCCACCAGGGGTTCATGGGCTGTGAGGACCTGTATGAAGCAAGTTGCCTAAAAGCTTTAGGTAAAGGTGACTCTTAAGCGCCCACCTTGGGGACTTGATCCAGTATAAATTCCTATTCTCTAATTCTGTCCTCCCATCTTGCCAGCTTTAGACAGGTCTTCATTTCCCCTCTCTCCCCTCCTCACCTTTCCTCTTCGCTCCACAACTCAGTCTTCCTGGGTCCTTTGTCTCTTCTGCTTATGAGAGATGAAGTGCCCCTTGTCTTTGCTAGAGGGCACAGAGCTATTTGGGACAAAAGGGTCAGGCCCTCTCAATCCAAGTGCCAGTTCCTAGTTGTCTGACCTTCGGCAAATGGAGTCATGTCTCAAAATTTTATCTCTGTATAAAATGGTGAAATGCCCATCTATCTCCCAGGTCTATTGGGAGCCTCACAGCTGGGTAGTGATGTCGCTGTGCCTTCTAAAAAGGTTCTGTACTTGCAAGACAAGTTATGTAAGAGCTTGTCCCTTTCAAGTCCTCTTGGGAAATTCCCCTTACCACTCACTCATGCCTAAACCCCAAATCACTTTCTGCAAATGGCTCTCCGAATGGACACAAGTGACTTCCCACAGTCTTGCGGATAACTATGAACATAGATTGACAGGAGACTTGGCAAACTCAGAGCACTTTGTACCGGGTTGGGAATATCATGGACACATTCTCTGTTAGTCTCTTAGTTTTTCTTTTTGTTGGCGTTACATAACTAGGACATTTCCCCCACTCACCTGGGCCTGACCCCTGGCTGTCCTGCCTGGGAGTCCCCCACTTATCCTTTGAGGTGAACAGCTCTCTGAGAAATGCTGTCTCGAGACTGAAGGCAGCCAGTCACAAGGAGCAACTTGGAGAGGGTTTCCCAACTGATGCCACCAAAAGCTACTTTAATTCACCCACATCTCCAAGTGCTGTCTCCAGGACCCCCATTCCTTTATTCCTCTCAGAGGGAACCCAGTAGGTAGAGTCTTTTTTCTCTCTTGATGCTCACAGTTCAGCGATTCAGGCAGTTGCTGTTTTCTTCTTGCATATAAATAAAAATAAGAAGTTAGAATCACAGAAATCTGGAAAAGAGAGGATGGTTAAAAAAAAAATCATCCCCCAAATTCTGCTCATTAGGGTTGAGGATATAGCTCAGTCCTGGGTTCAATCCCCAGACCCCAGAAAACAAAACAAACAAAAAGTTTTTTCTATTATGAAATCAATTACCACTATGATTTTGCTGTTTACCTCCATTTGCCTTTTTCTTTCTCTTTCTTTTCCAAACCTGTTTGTTACCCCTGGTTGGCAGGCATGATGCTGAAGGGGAGAACCCACTGGCCTGGGTCCCAACCCTGGTTCTTCCCCTTGGATGACCTTGGACCTGACCTTTTCCCCTGGCTCTAAAAAGCTAATAAAGCCTACCTCACCACAGAGATGGTTAGAATAACAGAGCGCCCCCACTTTCCTCTCTCTCTCTCTCTCTCTTTCTTCTCTGCTTATTAATTTTTAAAGAGTCGAAAATCAAATGAACAAACCAAAACTTATGTTTTGTTTAAGCTTAAGACAGTGTTTGTGATACTGTTCTTTGCATTAAACAAAGGAAAACCTAATTTTTAAAAAAATGACCATTTTTTCCTGGCTAACAAGCCAACCCTTCTGGAACCCACTAAAATACAGCAAGTTATAAACAAATCTGGTTTTGATATCTTTCCTTCTATGCGTTTGTTTACATGGTTGGGATTATTTGTTTTGCACAATTTCAAATTCTATTTTTTTCCACATAGCATTAGGATATAAGCTTCCACCCCACCCCTATCGCACTGGCTGCCATTTAAAACACATATTTATATGGAGCTAGAATGACAGCCCAGTGGTAGAGCATGTGCTTGGCACATGGGAGGCCCTGAGTTTGATCCTGTGTTAGTCAGCTTTCTGTTGCTGTAACAAATATTGGAGAGAAATCAACTTAAAATAGGAAAGGTGTGGGGGATTCAGACCATGGTCAGTTAGTCCTATTGCTTCTGGGCCCCGGGTAGGGCAGCACACAGCTGCGGAATCTAGAGGAGGAGGAACTGCCCAGATCCTAGCAACCAGGCAGCAAAAAAAGAGACAGGAAGGGGCCATTATGCCCCCTCCCATTATGCCCCTTAAAGACACACACATCCCCAATGGCACGGGGGCTGTGACCTTCAACCAGCCAGGTTTTTTTTTTTTTTTTCTTGTGGTGCTGGGGATTGAACCCAAGGCCTTTTGCATGCGAGGCAAGCACTGTGCCAGCTGAGCTATGTCCCCAGCCCCTAACCAGGTTCTTAAAGTTTCCACCAACTTTCCAATAGCACCAAACTGAGAGCTAAACCTTTATCTCATGGATCTTTATTTGGGGGGGGGCGTGGTACCAGGGATTGAGCTCAGGGGCATTCAACCACTGAGCCACATCCCCAGCCCTTTTTTGTATTTTATTTAGACACAGGGTTTCACTGAATTGTTAGTGCCTTACCATTGCTGAGGCTGGCTTCGAACTTGCAGTCCTCCTGTCTCAGCCTCCTGAGCCGTGGGGATTACAGGCATGCTCCACCATGCCCTCCTGCCTCATGGATCTTTGGGGAACACACACACACACACACAATTGTACATATTTATGGGGTACAATGTGACATTTCAACACATGTATAC